AACTAGAGTGGTACTATAACTAGAGTGGTATATAACTTAATATACAGGGAAATCTATAGTTTGCATATATTTTCGAAAACTTATATGTTTAGGTAATTCAAGATTAGCACATGATTTAGCTGACGTCTATTTTACTAAGACTTTATTATGAAGCTGGTTTTGATAATTTTTTTAACACAATATACTCACCCCGAAATGTTCGAACTCCGAATCCTGCCACTCTCCACTGCTTTTATGTTTCCATTTCACTTCATATTCCATCGCTGCCTTATCAGTCCATTGCAGCAACCCTGGAAACCGATCATTTTGTAGAGAAGGATATAAGAAATCCCTCACAAAAAGATTTTCAACTCTTGGCATCTGGTGAAATTGACGAAGACACCACTGTAATATCAAATATAAGACAATATAAATATAGTTCCTTATGCTGACATAAATTGTTTGTTTGTTCTTAAACACATAGTTACACAAAAAATTATCTGTCATGCGACCACCATGAATATCGAAACCTAATTTTATAGTGTTATAATTTCACAGACTTACCACTGAACTACTGGGGCGCAGTCATAAATGACACAATAATTTAAAAACTTCTTTAGAATGTACTCGATTTTAAAAAAATCGTGGGAAAAAAATATTTACTCTGGGATTTATACGTACAGAAAATATTTTGTAACTATATGTTTATTGTTTACATAAGAAACCCTGATGTATAAAAGCGGGTTTTAATTTTATAAATATAAAAAAAAAATACCACGTTGAAAAAATAATGATATGTGAAGTTTTTCATTTTTAAGCTGGAAAATATGTGACTACAATGTTTAAACATTTTTACTCTGGTGAAGTATCTTTAAAAACTTAACACAAGCATTGATAATATGAAAGTTTTAAAGCCTGTTTAATTTCTTTTTTTGTTGTGCTGAGTACGAGATTAAATTCCATGAGCCAAGTAAAGCTAATGACTGAATACCAACTTAACGTTTATTTCTTATTAATCGGTTTAAACTTTATTTTACTGTATTGTTGTCTGAAGTTATGCACAAAGCTACACAATGGGCTATCTGTGCCCACCACGGATATAGAAACTCTGTTTCTAGCGTTGTAAGTCCGCAGACATACTACTGGGCCTCTGGGGGGGCTTTACTGTATTAACTATAACATGTTATAATTATATATGAATATTGGCGTATTTGTAACGATTTTTTATATGTACACTCTTAGATTAATGTTGATTTTAATTTGTTTTTTGTTTTAAGATTTTCATGAAAAGCTACACAAGGTCTACTCGCGCATAGCTGTTGGTAATTTCGAACTGAAGACAAGAGTGGAAGACAGCTAGTTGACAGCACAAGTCACCAAATCTTAAGCTACTCTGTTTTTGACAAAATAGTGTAATCTTTATCGTCACTCATACAGAGGCCCAACAACCTCAAAGTATTTCAAGTGAAAACTGATTTCAAAATTATTATAAAAAATGTAAATATGTGGGTATCTTAAATCTACTATGTTAGTTCCATATACTCTCGCGTCTATTAACTCTTCGAACATGGGTCATTTATTCACACCAAAGAAATCTTTTCCATGTAGCGTGTTTTACACTATTTAATCAAATGATTCATTTCAGTTGAAAATTGTGAATTTATTGTACTTTTAGTTGGTATTCGTATTTCTTGGCGTAATCATTCGATTCATTTTCATTCAACATGGCGCTACAAACTGATGTCATGTAACTTAAGTCAGGTGTATGTCAAATGGAAGGTAGCTAGTTGGAGACATCAACTATCAAAGCAGTGTTTACGTCAAAGACAAAGTTCTCACGATACCAGAAATAAATGGAAAACCATTTGGGCAAAACATTACCACGAGTTCTTAAATCGACCACCACCAACAAATTCGTTCGATTTTAATGGAATAGAGACATACTGAACTGGATATGGCCACTAATGAGGTCACCATTGGCGAGTGGATGAGAGCTATAAAAATTAGATTTCTGAGCAATGTAAAATTTACAATATAACACCTGAATGTGTTAAAATGTTTATCGTTCAATAGTTAAGAGCCAATGGCCCTGCGCTAAGCCTTATGATTTATATTTGTTTGATTTGAATTTCGCACAAAGTTACTCGAGGACTATCTGCGTTAGCCTTCCTTAATACAGCAGTGATAGATCAGAAGGGAGGCATCTAATCAACACCACCAACCGCCAACTATTGGGCTACTATTTTACCAAGGAATCGGGGGGATTAACTGCCACATGATAACGCCCCACGAGTGAAAGGGCGAGCATCTTCGGTGACAGGGACTCGAACTCGCGACCCGCAAATTTCGAGTCGAGCGTCCTAACCAACAGACCATGCCAGGCCTTAGGGCTTATAACGCTAAATATTGGGTTTTGATAAACACGGTTGGCAGATCACAAACAGCCCATTGTGTAGCTTTGTGTTTAACAGCAAATAAACCTTCAATCATCACTCGAGCAGTATTCGCAAATGATGAACAATTATTAAATTTTGGAATAAAAGAAAAAAAAATCCACGAGTAATTACGTAATTAAACGACAACTGGAAGAAACTTCTTCACTATTAGAAAAACAAATTTGTAAACTTACTCCGTGGTACGCAAACTATGGGAAGGGGACATATAGAATCGATAGGGAAAGCGCGTAACTATGATTATAGAAACATATAAGTGCAGTATACTGTATATACAGTATATATATATGTGTGTGTTTGTGTGTACAGTATACAGCCGAAAGTACATATTTAAAAATAAACACGTTTTTAGAACTACCGTACAAATATTATTATTATTATTAAGTAATATACGAACAACAATTAAGGTGTGAAAATTGCATGTACAGTGTATACACAAATAGGTTAGTGTGGGGAGCTGCGTCATCGTAAGAGCTGCACAAGGAACAAGTAGAGGTTCATTCCACGCTGAAAAGTAAATAGAAGAACAGACTAAACAGCCGAAATGTTATGTATTTCACTCTCCTTCTTCTTATTTTTCAGCATAGAAGTAATCTCTCATGTACACAAATAGTTTTGTATTCGAACAGTTTCGTACAAACAGACAAAAATCTTCTCCTTTCAGGCATAGAAAATTGAATACATTTTCTTGGTTTCTTTGTAAGTTCGCGCAAAGCTACACCAGTGCTATCCGCTCTAGCCGTCCTTAATTTAGCAGTGAAAGACTAGAGGGAAAGCAGATAGTCATCACCACCCACCGCCAGTTCTTGGGTTACTCTTTTACCAACGAATAGTAGGATTGACCGTCACGTTATAATGCCCCCACGGTTGAAAGGGCGAACATGTTCGGTGGGACGGGAATTCAAACCCGCAGATTGCGAGATGAGCGCCTTAACCACCTGGCCTTGCCGGGCCCTACATTTTCTTCTAGGTAGTGGATTTGGTTGTTCCAAAACACTGCACCTCGCTGATTACTGGCAATAACTTGAAATCTGTAAGTTATTAAACAAGTGGGATCGAGTTGACAGGTGGCACTGATCAGCCGTTCCTGCATCTCTTTAATTAATATAAAAATTTGGTATTTCATTCACCCACTAACCTATTAAACCTTCATTGTATTTATTGTTTTATTGTGAATTCGTTTGTTTTTTGCCACCAGCTGATGAAAAGAAAAAGTGAAACGTTTAAAAATCTAATTTTATTAGAACCCTTCAAAAAACCAGGCAGCAATACTCTTCTCTTAATCAGGGTGCAGAAATATATGAGATACGATAAACCGGAACCCCTGATTATCATATCAAAATATTTATCAACTAGTACTATGGGAAGGTAATTCGTAGCCACGGCTTCATTCCATGCAAAAAGCTTCGTGACTGTTGATTGGATGGCCGAAATATAATAAGATTTTTTTACACATTTATCAGCTTGTTAGTTTCAAGTTTTGGACATTAATGTACATTTACTACATAGGCGTCCGCGAGGGGAGCAAGGAGCATTTGCTCTCCTGAATTATCAATTTTACGTTCCCCTAGTTATAGCTTTGGTATCATTTTGTCATCTAGCCTCCCTCTATAATACATCTTGCTTCCCTCTGTAATACATCTTGCCTCCCTCTGTAATACATCTTGCGGATATCAGTTATTTACTTAGTTTGTCATAAGCATGGATAAGTGGATGTTGCATATCGGCTAAAAACTATATCATAATTCTTCGACAAAAGAAACAGTTAATCGACAAATGGTTAAGTTAAAATATCGTTGTCCCATGCAAAATGTTTAGTATATAAAAACTTCTTGGTGACTCAGTGGTAAGTCAGAAGGTTTATAATGCTAAAAACCGGGTTTCGATACCCGTGGTGAGCAGAACACATATATAGCCCATTGTGTAGATTTGGCTTAACAACGGACAAACGATACTGGCTGCTAATAAAGGACCATTTTTTTCCCAACTCTTGTACGTGTTAAGTGATATAAAAATTGACTCGTGGCTTACAATTGGTACGTCACAGTGATAACTTTGCATTTATTGACGTACCATTCATAATACTGTGAACAATAATAAAATTATAAATGTCAGTAGAAGCTCGGCACATAAAGTATCACAAGTGTTCGCTATATATTCAACCAAATGTTTTTTGGTACTTTACTTGCGCATGTGACATGACTTTCTTAGTATAGTGTACAAGGGTGTGTTTGTAGTTAAGCATAAAGCCACACAATGGTCTATCTGTGTTGTGCTACCCGTCACGGGTATCGAAAACCGATTTTTAACGTTATAAGTCCGCAGGCTTATCGCTGATTCACTGAGGAGAGGGTCTGTGTAAGTGAATATAAATACCAGACCGTTAGAAAAGTACCAAAGCGTAATAAATTACGAGAAGTAGATCTTATAGACTGTTGAAGGTGCGTAAAACTGACAGACACAACAGTCGCAATGATTGGTGACGTTCATCTACCGTTTATCAATCATACAAATAGATATTAACATGACAGTTAAATCTATATAAATAAAGGTCAGTATGTGTATCTGTTCCTTATAAGTTTCTATATTTATTGATCAATCAGCACCAAACTTGACACAATTATACAAGATGGCATCTAATTTCATATCCAATGTTGTATATCCCTCGGATTTATGCATGAACTATGTTGCCAATATTGTTAGAATTCTTGAAAACGGTATGTCTTTCTTTCCAGTATCGGTACCTTTATGTATTTTTATTGCATATTTAATGGTTCTTATGCTAAGAAAAAAATAGAAGCACAATTTAGTATCCTTTGTTACAAACGAGTTTTTATTTCACCCGTCCAACATACTTCATTCAACAAAAAATGTTGTCGAATATTGACAACCGTTCAATTATAGTGAATTTGAAAAGTTCCAGAAATCACCTTTGTTATTCTTCTATATCTA